AGGCAATGGGACCAGCCTTGGATGATAGTCTAGTCAGGAAGGAATAATGGAATGAATGAGAAAGAGAGGACAGTTACAGGAGACTTTGGGTAGATGGAGTCAGTGACTTACAGTGACATATCAGATACGGCAGGTGAGAGAGAGGCACGTTAATGATGTCACTGCTTTCTTACCCTGCACTTCTATATTCTTTCCTGGAACAACTTTGTGCACTTTGTATATTTAATATGCCTCTAAATTGTTGAGTTATACCAAACAGAACATAGAGATAAAGACTATGCTGTATTATCTGTTGCAAAAAAGGAATTTGCTTGACCAAGCACAGCTTATGAATGTAAAAAATAAGAGTAATGTCAAGAATAACATATATGGTGATCTAACAGTACCATGGCAAAGCAGGTTCAGGAATTGGAGTCTGTAGACATGGGTTGAATGTCAACTTCACTAGTCTCAAGCTTCCCACTTTGAACACTTATTGCCCCTGAGCTTTAATTTCTCGATCTATAAATTGAATGTGTTCATTGAATACTAACACATGTATAGTTGGAAAGCCATAGAAATCACCTGGTCCAAATTCCTTATGTTAATGATAAAGGAGCTTTGTCTGAAAGCATATAAATGACTTACATAACGATTCTTACTAATAGAGTTAGAATTAAAAAGCAGTGACCTTCCATTTGTTATCTCTGATTAGCTTCCATTCTGTTCTCCAAAATGACTCCTCCAAGCATCTACTCCCTCAATCCCCAACTTGCTCCATTCCTTCTTCCCCTTCTTCTTACTATACATTTATCAGAGAAAATTTCCTATCGTGGAACTCTGGGTGGGCCCAGACTATTTTTCCAGCTTCCCCAAGTCCCCTGAATCTAACAAATCCTGTCTACTCCATCCCCAACAAACTTCCTGTCATTTCCAAAACAGACCCTGCCATTCACCATCTCCTGATGGATTCACCAATCTTTCCTTGTTAGAGTACCCTTCCTCTGAGACTGTCAGCCTTCTGTTTATCCCTCAAGATCCAATTACCTCCTTCCAGACACCTTTATTGATTCCCCCAAATCCTCTTCTGCGCTCCCTCAACAATCTATTCATAACAGCATGTCACAATCTGCTCCTCTCACAGCGTATCTGTTTTGCCACCAGATCCTCATGTTTCTTAAGGGTCAGGATCAGCTCTTATTTTATTGTGTACCACGGTGTCAACCTAGCACAGTGTCTGGCAGATTGTGGGCACACCATAATTGTTTGAGGAATAAATGCACTTGGATCTCTTGGCCCCTAATCCAGCTGGGCTCTGTGTGTGTGTGTGTGTGTGTGTGTGTGTGTGTTGGGGGGGGGGGCGGGTATTACTTAGTTGCATCAGAAGCATGGATAGGGATTGTATAAACATGGATTATTGTAATGGGTGGACCAACCGACACAATTAATGTAGTCTCTACTGAGATCCAAATCAAGGCCTTTATAATCGGGATAGCCAGAAAGCCAAATGACACATCAAGAATTGGATTCACAGGTATGGGGGATTGTGGTGTGTAAATGTATGTTTGTGTAATACTATGGCTAAAATATGTTCCACATCAGACTAATCTTCTATCAATCCCTCTTCATAGGAATTGGGTAGACAGATAGATAGACATCTGAGGCTAGTTGAACCTTTCTTTATGCCCTCCCCTTGAGCTCCACACTTGCCCTTCCCAGGTGGTGATATAATAGAAACAGAAGCTGCTGTTATTTAACTCGAGTTTCTCTTCTACAAGGTATTCTTCCTTCATCCTGGCTGCTGTTGCTGCAGTTGTGATGATTTGTGCTCTTATCGGCATGTGTTTCCTTTTAGCTCCTTTTCTTAGCAGCACAGAGAGACCTATCTCCTGAGCAAGGCAAGAAATCCTACAACTCCTGTTATTTGTTTCACTTTGCATGTTCACACACCTGCTTGGTTCATTTTTCTCACCCAGTCCTGACCACCACGATTCCCCAAGTTGTACTGTCTTCTCGGCATCTGCTTGTTAAGGTTTTATACTTTGCTGGCTCCCTGTCCCCAACTCCAACTGCAGGAATAGGTCTGGGGAACAAGTAGTTCTTCTAAATTCCATAAGTCACAGATATTGCCATATTCATAATGGCCAAACCATTGAATGGTCGCCATGCCAATGACCTCCCTGTCAAGTCTTCATCAGTCTTGCTGACTATTTCAGCTCTATTTTTGAGTTAGATACAATGTCCCAGTCTTGTCTCCTGGCCAATGCCACACCACAAGCCCACTGGTTAAATCTCTGCATACTCTTGCAACCCTCGCTTTTTAGTTTTTACTAAATCTCCCATTGCATTACTGTCTGTTTACACCATGCTGATAAAATATTGATCCTGTATGAAAAGAACCTCTTTAACATAACAAAGATATAACTTACCTTCATATCTACACTAATCAATCAGAAAATCTCTTGTCAGCACTTTTAATTCATTTATCTCTTGTGTGAATACTGTATGTGACTCACATTTCTTCATTATCCCCTCCCCCAAATCCAGATAGATGGATAGATAAATGCTATTGCCCCAACAGTATTCTTACTTCTGTGAATAATAACACACATTCCTATAAATTTCAAATAAGATTCTCACCTATAAATATTTCTATAAATCACCACAAAAATAGACGTGAGTGTGATGTGCTATACTCTTACTAATTTGATGCACAAGTTGAGTTTGAATACATTGGAATGAACATTGGATCACAAAGAAACACATGCATTTACTGTGAATCTTGAGGATGAAATCATAACAGGGCTGCCAGTGCTTGAAACTGTGTGAATTAAATGGAAAGACTGCCAGTTTACATAATTATAGTTACAGAAATATAGAGAGTGTGACTATGTCATCAAGGGGTTTAATCAGTGTGTTTTTAAAAAATAGCTGCTTCTGTTCATAATTTTGTCACATGCACACATTTCCGTGGCAAAGGGCCAAATGCATTTAATGCAATTCAAGGATGACAAGGAGGACTGATGGCCTCTAATGAGCAATTGATTAGCAGCACACATATATAAATTAAAAATCCAGATTAAACTTTGTTCAGAATAGGAGGACCATTTTCATTTGCTGTGGCTCTTCAAACTTGTTAATGAAGTAAGGGACAAGAAGGGGAAATAATATTGAATTTTAACATTCTACTTGGAGATAAGGAACCCCAAGTTGTGAGGATAAACATAAGTCTTGGTTTAAAAAAGTATGTGTGTGCAGAAATAAACTTAACCTGGATTTTTGGTCTTAAAGCTACTAAAAGGATTGGGGGGGGGTGGAATGGATTAAAAAATGTATTGTACTATATTATTAAATCTAAGGCTTATTATTATGCAAAAGTGTGTTCCAATTTCAATTTTAAAAACTACTAATTTGTTTTCAACAGCTGTAATTTGAGATCCCACAGGATGACATATAAGGATACACAGGAAACTTTGGTAGGCTACTGTTGGTTTGGTGATTTGATTCACCAAGCCTCCTTGGCCGAGATTTCCACTGTCTGGAACTATAATAAGATGGCAGCCACAGTGTAATTCATCACAGTTGGGATTTCATAATGCATGGAACACAGTAAGAAATGAAAATGTACTAGAAAATGTACTAGAGAGATCATAGGCTATATCATTTAAATATTTTTCACCGTGGTTGGATTTTTATGCAGCAAAATAGAGAAGAGTTAGAAGAATATGTTGACAATGAGGATGTGGCATTAGTTATGTAGTAATAACATCTTGTGCTGGCTTCCAGAAGTCCATTGAGGTCTTACTAGCTTAGCTAGCGTATAGCTTGTTAAAGATGTGTGAGGCCTACATTGCGTCTGACTGTACATCATAATTCACCTCAATTAAGCAAATGTTTGTTGAGCTCCTATCATAAGCCAGACACTGTGGTAGTGGGGATACTAAGATGACAGCTGTAATAGAAACTGTGCATGTTATTTCAACTAGTACATTGTCATCTTTCATAGTAATTAATAATTTTATAAAAAATCTTTTCATTCTAGTTATTTACCTATGGCTTACTAGGATACTATCTTGCTTTTTTAGATATAAATGTGCACACTGTCAATTAATTTTTATTGAAAACCATAGGCAAGCACAAGAAATTCTAATGTATATTAATACTCAAATAGCATTTAAGGGAAAGTTTATCATGATACATCTATCATGCAAAAAAAATTGGCTTATATTTTCTCTTTACACTTCTCCATTTTCAATTGTCTGTTGATGTCTCTTTTATCTAAATCTATAACTTGTAACCATTAGTGGGGGATGATCATGTTCCCCTTTAAGAATCTCTTAATATACAACTTCTCACCAGAAAAATGCATACACTCACTTATATAAACACAATATATAACATGTATTTTCTGAGTACGGATCTGGTTGAGAAATACTTCATTAAATGCATACATTTCTGAAGACACGACCTGTGAAATTACAACTCAATTTGGAAATTAAGAGATGCTCTTTCAAGGAATCATGCTTTTAGATTAAAATTTAGTTTCCTATCCAAATTACTGATATATTGATATTCTGCCACAAAGATGTGGTTGCAGTTTGCCCCTGTGATGGAAAATACATTATTAGGCGGGGCTTCTGATAAAGTCAGCATGCATTTAGCTCAGACTATTAAGGCTTTCCTAAGCATGACCAGATGTGAAAGTGGTCCATGACATATGTGTCTGCATACATGGGCCACAGCTCGGCGAAGGCTCCAGCTGTTCCTATAATGGACAAGCTACCATCCTCCGATATCTTTTTAAATGTAATTGAGTCCCCTCATCCTTCTGTGCCTCTGGGGCTCAGAGAAGCTTAGACGAGTCGGTGCCATTGGTTTGTCTTTGGCACATTCCCAGAGCCGAACAGGTGACACCATAAACATACCCCAGTGTTGCCTTTTGCAGGGAGCAAGTGGTTCTCCAAGGTGGACCCTTCTGGCTGGTAATTGATTTTAATGATTTCTTTCTTTCTCCTGGGAAGGATTTATGTGGGCATCATTCATGTGACACCCTGGGAATGGCAGACGTTGGGACCATATGTTCTCCGGAGCGCAGCTGTGCTGTGATTGAAGACGATGGCCTCCACGCAGCTTTCACTGTGGCTCACGAAATTGGTATGCAGCGCCCTTTCTCTTCCCTCGCCAAATCAAACACTTGTAACAGCTGCAGCAGGAACTGAAATACTTGGCAATGAATTCCAGATTTCTCCTGGTTCAGATGCGGCCTTAGGGATTAAATTTGTTTATATTTGCACGTTCGGGGTTAACTAATAAGGGAGACGGAAGGCAAAGTCAGGCACACAGTAGATGTTTCCTGTCTGACACTTGTCATTCAAAAGCATAAGAGAAATTTGCTACTGCCACTGTCTTTTAAGCATCCTTAAATGACTCTTAGAGGAGATTTGTCACAGTTGGCTAGGAATGCAGAGATGTTCCTCTTAGGGGTTACTCAAGACTCTACTGACTCATCCAGGGCTAAGCGGTTTGCACACACATTTATCATGTTTTCTTCCACTGTGGCAGATCATGGTTTGGTCCTGTCAAAGGTAATCAATAGCTTATGGTAAACATGTCTGTCTTATTTTTAAGAGCAAAGCCAAGCTCAATGGTCAACAGAGTTTGTTTTAAAATGTCACTTAGCTGTTGTGTTTGTCATACGAAACACATCTAAATCCTAAAACTAGAAGTTTAGGGCTGAGTTAGTTGTTGAAAAATATCCCAGCAGTTAGGAATATGTGTTTTCTAACATTGATATAGGCTACTAGGTAGGTAAATGAGAGGTTAGTTCAGTACTGAGGATTAGATGTTAGAATTAGACACATCTGGGCTCAATTCTTGCTAAAGTACTTTCTATCTCTGTCACATTGGTCTTACTATTTAAACTTTCTAAGCTTCAGTTTTTATATCTGAAGTATAGGAACAACATTGCCTATTTCATGGAGTTATTTTCAGGACCAAATTGGGTAAATTATAGATATCAGTTGTTATTGTTATCCACATAATCATCTGTTTTGTTTTTTAATTAAATAGTTCATTTCCATTTTTAATGCATGTATCACCTTTTAGCATCATTTTTGGAAGGGCAGAGTATGATTTGATAATTGTTATTTTTGCTGTATTTTATTAAATAGATTTCATTTTTTAAGCTGAAACCCTAATTTTTAAATAGAAATTAAAAAATTTTTCACATCCCCAGTAGGTAAAGAATATTCCACAAGGTTTTGATTTCTTGCTTCTATGTGTTCTTTAAATACTTCAAATCAAAGGTGTAATTAATTGCATGCATCAGTGTATCACAGCAGTAAAATAGAGATCTGTGGTCAAATTTCAATTCTTATGTGTTAATCATGACTTTAATTTTCTTAACTGACACTCTTCTTATCATCTAAGCAAAAAAAGGAACAAACATAAAGTATTTGTTGCCTAAATAACCACTCAGAGGCACTGCTGATAATAATTCAATATAACATCTCATGAATTGAGCATCTTTAGCTTAAGGAACCCATGATCTGAGATAAAATCCCAGCTCTGTCTTAGTATTCTGTGTTTTATGTCAGGTGTGTCATTTAGACACTCTCAGAATCCATGGCTTTCTGTTGTGCTGGGCTAGAAGAGTTGAAAGTATTTTTAAGATCCATATGCCATTTGAGCTTCAGGGATGGGATTATGCCTTCACCTGTCTCTCACTCATGCATATTAAAGTAATTAAAACTACAGCCTCGTCTTGGCTGGGTGACTTTGTTGGTTGGAGTGTTGTCCTATGCACCAAAAGTTTGCAGGTTCAAGCCCCAGTAGGGTCGGGTATATGAGGCAATCTCTCTCTCTCTCTCTCTCTCTCTCTCTCTCTCTCTCTCTCTCTCCCCCTCTCTCTCTCCTTCCCTCCCTTCCTATCTCCCTCTCTTTCTTCCTCTTTCTCTCCTCTAAAATCAATGAAAACATATCCTTGGGTGAGGATTTAAAAAAGAAAAACAAAACTATAACCTCATATAGATCCTAACTCAATATTTATTACATGTCTCTGTGTTCATGAGTGAGTAAGAGGCAGAAACATGAAAGCTGCCCAAGAATTGGCAACCTTCCAATTCTGCATCAGAACCTAAGAGAGATTAGTCCAAATACTCAAGAGGATTGTAATTAAACAGAAGATTTAAAAAGCAACACCAGTAATTAATCACCATTATTCAGAGTGAGAGAAGCCCCATAAGATTCTAAATCCCTGGGCAGGCAGGGGGTGGTTCTTCTCTGTCTGGGTAGAGGGATGGTGAGGAATAAGGAACAGAGCTGAATTTTGGCATCACCCATCTATAAGACTATGAGCCAAATCCTGATCTTCCAAAGAAGAGATTACAAATTCCTTGAAGGAAGGGCTATTACTTCCTTCAATCCTGTACTGATCCCTTTTCACACTTGGACAGCATCTGGGAGACTTCCCTGGAAGAGCACCCTGCAGCAGTAAGTGCATCTTCTTTGGGGCTGCATTGACTCTCAAGCCAACTGGGCTGGGATGAAAAGGCTCCCAGCATCACCTTTCCCAGCCCTCCTGAATCCTAAACCAAGGGTCTGGGGTCACACAGACAGATGCAACCGTCTGAAAGGGGGGCAGCGAGATACCAATGAGAACAGATGTTTTATTAAAACTAAATGTGTGCAATACAAACTTTTCTTAATGGGACAAGAATATTGAACATCGTTTTACAAGACAACGATGTAGGAGAAATGTGGGTCTCTATGTGAAAAATCAAACCTGAATTGTTGACATATGACTACACCCGTCAGTCCCCCCTTTCATTTCTTGGTTGAATCACCTCTATTTACTTCTTTAAACTTCTCTATAATTCATTCTCCAATCAAACTCTGCCTACTTAATTTCCCTTTTTTCATGACATATGGCCCAATCTGAGACATTTAAGATCTGGGCATAGAGGAATATGGATTTAATTCCCATTTCATAAAGAGATCTGGCTTTCATTCATTTTCTAATTGCTTTATTATTCTTTAATTTCACTTTTTGCCTAAAAAATTGTGAACATGTGTTATAAAGTCTGAGCCTTACAAAATGCAGAGAAGATAACCTTACAAAATATTTCCTAATCATCTGTATGTGATTACAGGCGCCCCTCCACAGCCAGTGTGTTCTTGGGTCTGTTTCCAGTGCTTTATTTTTAGGTTGTTGCATGAGGCCATGTAACGAGCTATTCATGCTCTGGATTCTAATTCTACTCCATCCTTCTCATGTGATTTCCTCCCTTCCCTTTTATTAGACATAAACTACCTCCCAGATTTGGAGGTTAACTATACGGGCTATGTCTGGTGATGAAAAACCTTGTGAATCCCCGGGTTTGCTAGAGTGTTTTGAATTTCCTTGAGCCCATTTCAGAATGTGCAGTTTGCTTCATGTACACAGACTGTGAATATGTTACTAGCTTAAAACATAAGCTGTGGAGAAAATGTCCAGGCTGTCTCCATATGTTTTCTTTTTTATTTCTTCTATAAGCTCTAAAGCAGTGGTTCTCAACCTTCTGGCCCTTTAAATACAGTTCCTCATGTTGTGGTGACTCCCAACCATAAAATTATTTTCGTTGCTACCACATAACTGTAATGTTGCTACTGTTATGAATCGTAATGTAAATATCTGATATGCAGGATGGTCTTAGGCGACCCCTGTGAAAGGGTCGTTCGACCGCCAAAGGGGTCTCGACCCACAGGTTGAGAACCACTGCTCTAAAGGATATATTTGGTTAAGAGTAACACTTTCATGAACCGACTTAAATTTTCTCATGGAGTGCCCCACTGCATCCTCTTTTATACATAGTGGTTTAAAACACAAAGCCATTGTACCTGAATCAGAATTTTCTCTGTTCTTTTCCCTCCTCCATCTGAAACATGTTTGTATGGAGAATTAACAGGAAAGATAAAGAGGCCAGCCTGAAGTGCCTTCTGGCACCTGTTCTATCCATGGTGTTAAAGTCAGAAAGAAGTGGGTTAAGTGAACAATTGGGAAAGTGACTCTTTTCATGCCCTGCTTTCATGCCCCGCATGTTAACTGGAATACTTTTCTTTCCCTGCTAATTCTTTCTAAGAAAGAGCTAGATGTTGGAGGTACCTACTCAACTGGTGCCCATACAGGCTTCTGGAAAGTAAATTTTGATGACCTTAGATTCTCCATAGGCAGCAAGTCTTTGCCTTCCTCCTGTCTATGTTATGTGCATGTAAACACTAAATTTTGAGAACATTTATGAAAGTTGCTTTAAACCATCAAGAACCCAGTCCCCATCTCTGTTCCTTGAGTGGAGGCAGGAATGTGGTTACAGCCATTTTACAATCCAAATGTGAACTGGAGAAAGTTCCAAGTGAATGTAAGTTTATATTTTGAGTTTATATTTTTAACTTGTCAAATTTTTATTATCGGCTTGTAATAATAAAGATTTCACCTGCTGCACACATGCTTGCTCAAAATAATAATTTTATTGATGTTGGGCCAGCTTCTAATACAGCATGGGGAACAATCTGACTTTATTTAGACTGATGAAATCCATGATTTGCAAACTTGCCGAAGCTTTGCTTTATGGTAGTTAATTATAAAATGTGCTAAGTGACTCTCTTCACCATGAAAGATTCCAAAATGCTTCCTCAGCTGAAAGCAGGCAACTGAAAAAGCTGAAGCCAAATGTTTGGCTGGAGACCTAGAAAGTGGTTGAGACACAACAGCATAGCTGCCCGCGTTTTGCTGTGGTTAGAATGCGTTCTCTGGTTGTGCTGATCTGCGTGGGACTGTGCTCCCATAGATGATTAGATTAAACAAGGCCGTGTTTTGAAAAGCTGCAGAGGCCCTGGAAACACCATAGACCAACGCCAAGTGCACAGAATCAGATGTCAGGACTGGCTGTGAGATGTGAAATGAAAGGAAGCTAGGATTAAACTTGGTATTTTCCCCCAAAACCATAGCTTTAATCAACACAAACTGAGCATTTTTTCAATCCAGTTTGGGCCAGTGCCACACTGTGTCTTTCTTGGCCCCCAGATGAAAGATGGGAATAGGTCTTTGTTGTAGGTCTGGCAGCATTGAGAGATTTAGTGTTTAGCATCAGTTGTTTGTTTTATAAATCAAATCCCAA